GCGGGGCGGCGGGGCCTCAGCAGCAGGGCTCCGCGCCCGGCATCCTCCCCGCGCACGCCCCTCCGCGGCCGCAGGGCCACCGCGAAGTTCACCCCGCTGCGGGGCCCGGGCGGCGGCGACGAGGTGTCCCGAAAGGCCGGTCGTCTCGGCGAGGCTAAACTTCCTCCTGGCTCCCTAACTCCGCGCCCCTCAGCCCTAGGGCACGGTCGCTCCCCTCCGAGCCGAGGAGGCTAAGCTCTTGCTTTCCGTTCAGAGCTCCCCTGGCTTCCCGGCCAAGCCGATTCGCAGAAGAGTTGCGAGGCAAGGGACCGGTGCGCGGGGCAGCGGCCGCGCGTCGGCGCCGCAATTCGCAGTCTCCCGCCTCTCTGCGCCGCGCTCCACCGAGCGGCCAACGTGGGCTTTTTGCTGAGCTTCCAGCTCAGGTACCTCGCTCTAGCCTCCACGACTCCCCGCCCTGTCGGGTGACCGACAGGCCTCGAGCCAATGGGGAGACAAGCTTCTCGGGCTATTTACATACACCCGCCCCCTTCTTTCACCCTCCCTTCCCGAGGGGCGTCGCCTCCCCTGTGGTAAGTTTCAAGTACGGAGAACGGAGAATTCTCGGAGGCGCCGGAGGAGCCGAGGAGCACCCAGAACGCATCGCTAGTAAAACTGATCTGACCGACGTTCCAATACAACCACTTCTTTTTTAGTATTACGTCCAAGGCCTAAATTATGTTAAATAGACCTATTAAATTAATATTTCCTGGATCGATTGAGGAAAAAAAAAATGATCATTTTCCCATCTCCTTAGTTTCTTATTGGTGCATTGTAGCCGTTTAGCGGACACGTGGCTTTCAAAGGCAGCGGCTGGGAGTTGGGACACACCCTTTGAGGAAGCTGCTCACAGGAGAGGCAGAGCCTCGGGCCAGGCATAAGGCCACTGGAGTCCTGAGGTTTGAGGTTGATTATTCGGGCTTATCTATTCACTGGGACCTCGGTTTGGCTTCTTAAGTAGCCGCCAGGAGAAAAGGTGTACTGTACTAATGTAACAAAAAAGCCAAGTGCTCTTTCTTGGAAATGTCCCGTTGCTTCTCCAGTTTGTCTCTTAGTGCTGCTTTGGAATGTTTAGCAATATCATTTTAGTTTACATCGTGCAAGGTCAAATTTGGGGAGAGCTGGTAAAGACAATTCCAGGAAGGGTAGGGGCTTGGCATGCACCCTAAGTGGCAGGGCAGTGGGACCCTGAAACATACTGCTGTGGACCTGACATGCTGCAACAGCAAGCTGTGGCTGTAAGGATGCACATTCACTTCACCCGCCCATTCTCCAGCAAGACCAGTCATTGCTGGGTCCTAGGAACAAATTTACTTTTCACCTTACATCCTTGTACCTGGTGCAAAGTACGAGGATTTGAAAACAGAAACTGTGACTTGCTGACTTGGTGGCCCTAGTTCAAGTAGTCCAAGGAAGTGGTGAGTGGAATCGAACAGAAGTAGAACAAGAGATTCACGGCCTCGTGAAATCACAGGGTTTCTGCCGGTCCAGATCTTATGAGCATTTCCATATAATTTCAAAGAATCTATTTTTAACTTTTTTTGTTTTGTTTTTCATTTTATGTATTTGGTACAGGGTCTCACTATGCAGCTCGGACTCGTAGTAATCCTCCTGTTTTCAGCCTCCCCCATGCTGGGATTACAGGCATATACCACCCACCTGGACCCAGTTCTGGGCTCAGAGCGGCCCACTGGCAGGGCCGATGTAAGCCAGACCCCAGATCAAACACTGGTCCCTGCGCTTGCCATAACAGGCACTTAGTCTGCTGAACTATCTCGCTGGCCCTAAAGAATCTATTTTGAGTGGGTACAGGTCTTTAGCTTCAAGCAACCACTGGGTCCCTCTTTCTAGTTTTATGTTACCCCAGGCCCAATGACCATTCAGGAAAGTCATGTCATTGACTGAAGGCCACAGAACCTCAGCAACATTGAAAGTCAGTGTCCAACCATCTGCAGGGCCTCTGTCCCTCACTGCTTGATCTGGGATGCCAGGTCCCTTAGAACTCTTCTAAAATATGTGACAAGAATACAGTCTTCGTCACACTGCCCATAGCAGCATCAGTTCTCAGAGATCTACAACGTAAGTAGACTTCCTGCCAAGGGCCACTGCTGTCACAAAACCTAGCCATACTTTCCTTTTCTTTCTTTCTTTCTTCCTTTTTTTTTTGGGGGGGGGTAGAATTTCCAGGAAAAGCAGCTGAAAGTAAAGCAGCTCCAACCTGCAAGGGCAATGAGAAAAGCACTGAGAAATTCCAAAAACCTTAAGCATAGGTGAGATCTCACAGCAAGGCTGTGCCATTGAAACCACAGTCAGCCTGTGACCTGCCAGGCGCATGCAGGGGAGACCCGAAAGAAGAACACGTACACCTCTGACATCTCCCCTTTGTCCTGCTGGAGTAGAGCGCGAGTCTAAAATGACACTTAGTGATACATTATCGATTAGACCTCTGAGCAAGCGCCCCGTCCGGGTCTGCCCTGGGCTCTCCACCCCCACTGAGATGGACTTTCATTGTTATTGAATGGTGCTAAAATAAGAGGGCGCTGAGGGCAGCTCCAAGCGAACATGTCTCTCTTTAGAGAAGGAAGTCTGAGACATGAAGTGGGACATGACAATGATCACAGACAGTGACACTCAACTGATGGATGTATTCCGGTATCCCCACCATGTGCGGCAATGGACACAGAATCTTAACCACCACCCCACCTGCTCCCCATCAGAGACTCCAATGCTCCCCAGAGATCTGAGAACAGGGGCTGGAGAGAGTCCACATGTGATTCGAGAGGATGGGGCAGAATGGAGTTGAAAGCAGAGGAGGAGATCTGGCTTTGAAGTTTGTGGAAACGTGGGAACCGGCTGAAGAAAATCAGAGGCAGCTTCGCCCCCTGCAGGACACGGAAATATTACGGCCCCTTCCCCCTGTGAGCTCCCGACCAGCTTCATTAAGGTTTCAGTGTGCGCTTCTAAGACATCTGGGGGTGGAGGAAGAGGAGGAATTCGTTCGAGAAGCCAGATGTTAGAGCCAATCCATCGCAGACATCTGGCCGCTTGGCTGACGTTCCATGCAGATGGCCACCAGTTTCTGGACACAGGTTGCCTGTCCCACTCCTGAGAAAGCAAGGAACACGCACCCTAAGGCACAGGCTTTTCCTCCCCGCCTGTGGCAACTCTGGGAACAGAGTGGGAATCCCGTACCTAGATGTGTATCACAGGACAGTGTGAGTCACACTGCTAATTCTTTAAAATGTACTTTGCCTTATTTCTTATATATTGCGGAGGGTTATGTTAAACATAACACCCTTGACCAAATAATTCTATTTTTGAAAAGGTACTACTTAACTAATTTGATATATTGAATACCCCCATGCTTTCCTGTGAATTATATCATTAATAATAAATTGCAACTGCAGCTTTAATTTTATATTACATCATACATTGGCCCCATTCAACTGCCCTTCCTGAAGCTATAAGTCACTGCTTGTACAATTAACAAAAAAATTTTATAAACTATGTGGCTGTAGTGTTTAAAAGCCGAAGATCTGAGCTCCCTGAGTCCTTCAAAAGCTTTATTCAAAAACTTCAAATGTTATTGTTACAACGAAGCATAAGGATTGAAGTATTTTTAATATTGACTTCAAAACATAACAATTTGCTCAATTTAAAAAAAAATCACTTTGCTGTTAAGCAACGAAGTCACCATTTGCAGGGGCTGAGAAATGAAAATCTGAGTTGCATAATTACTGCTGCTGAATTGTAGCTGCACCTATAAGGCAGCCTCCAAAATATGTGGCTCATCCAAAAGTCGGAGGTGACATTTACGTGCACTCACTCTCTTCCCTCGCTGTCTGCTCAAAAATGCTGGACATTCACACTCCAAAATATCACCCAAGCCATCATATTTTCCTACTCGTGAAGGACATCTGGTGGCAAAGTGAAAAAGTAATACATAAATCTGTCTCCAGAGATTTTTTTTTTCCACACTGTAACCCAAATAGCCAATCTGTTACTTGTGTGGGTTTCAAGCTCCTCACACAAGCTCTGCTCCCATGATTGAGGTAGGCTGCATAAGATTAAGCAACAAAATACTTGGAGATATCCAGCTGATTATTAAATCATTTGTGAGAATGTTTCATTGGATCATTGGCATGTAGACTAAGTCTTAAAGTTCTTGTGTGCTGAACTAGACTGCTAAATCCATTTCCAGGATAGCTTTGCTAACCCTAAACAGCATCGGACATTTGATAGGGCTAGGAAGGGCCTTAGGCTCCCTAGTCAGTTTGTGTCACAGATGTACCTCTGTGTGCACTAGGAGGTAGCATTTAGAAAGTCTCCTTGGGTAGCACAGGAGTAACCTGTGGTGTGGGGCCAGAGAAGCACACTGGATAAAACAG